TCAACCGTAGCTTCAACGTCAACGTGCCTTTCGTCCTCATGAACTCCTTCAACACCGATCAGGACACCCAGTCCATTATCAAGAAGTACGAGGGCCACAACGTCGACATCATCACTTTCAACCAGTCGCGCTACCCCCGCATCATCAAGGACTCGCTCCTCCCCGCCCCCAAGAGCTTCGACTCTCCCCTCCAGGATTGGTACCCTCCCGGACACGGTGACGTTTTCGAGTCCCTGTACAACTCCGGCACTCTCGACAAGCTGATCGAGCGTGGTATCGAGTACATCTTCCTGTCCAACGCCGACAACCTCGGTGCCGTGGTTGATCTCCGCATCCTGCAGCACATGGTTGACTCCCAGGCCGAGTACATCATGGAGTTGACTGACAAGACCAAGGCTGACGTCAAGGGTGGTACCATTATCGATTCTGACGGCAAGGTCCGCCTGCTCGAGATCGCCCAGGTGCCCAAGGAGCACGTCAACGAGTTCAAGTCGATCAAGAAGTTCAAGTACTTCAACACCAACAACATCTGGCTCAACGTCCAGGCCATTAAGCGTGTCGTTGAGGAGAACGAGTTGGAGATGGAGATCATCCCCAACGAGAAGTCCATTCCCGCCGATAAGAAGGGCGAGGCCGATCAGGCTATCTACCAGCTGGAGACCGCCGTCGGTGCGGCCATCCGCCACTTCAAGAACGCCCACGGTGTCAACGTGCCCCGTCGCCGCTTCTTGCCCGTCAAGACCTGCTCCGATCTGATGGTCGTCAAGTCTGACCTGTACCGTCTCGAGCACGGCCAGCTGGTCATGGACCCTAACCGCTTCGGTGGTGTTCCCGTCATCAAGCTCGGTTCCGACTTCAAGAAGGTCTCCGACTTCCAGAAGCGCATCACCAGTATTCCTCGCATCGTCGAGCTGGACCACCTTACTATCACTGGACCTGTTAACCTCGGCCGTAACGTCACCCTTAAGGGAACTGTTATCATTGTCGCTTCCGAGGGTAGCACCATTGACGTTCCCCCTGGATCCGTGCTTGAGAACTGTGTTGTGCAGGGTAGCCTGAGAATCCTCGAGCACTAGATGTTTTCTGATTCTTCCGTGGATCACAGATCCGCAGCGTTTGACTTTTTTTTTACTCGTTTTAACTGGTACATCCGAGGCTATGGATTCCATGGAGTATGCAAAAGAAGTACTTGTATTACATTACAATAATCCAGCGTCTTTTTTCTTTCTTTCTTAATGGGTTTTTAGTCTAGACCTGACTTTGATTCCGAAGTACTATGATGTTGCTCCCCATTCTCAATGCATTACCAGTTCACTCGTTCAATATATTAAAACAATTATGTATGTAGATAGTGTAGTTGTATGGCTATTCATGTAAGTCTCTCTTCGCCACCAACTCGATATATACCCCCAAGAACTCCCCCAACGCCTCACATATAGTCTCGATAACATCAAATCCAAGCTTCAACTCCAAGCAAACATACGCTATTGCCTTCAGGCAAATAAACTTCAATAATAATAGGCGGGGAAAAGTTCCCCATGATATCTTCTCAACGTCATTCGCGGCAAAACAAATCCATTTGCCCTACTAAACCCTGCCCAAGCAGAACATCTCAAGTATATCGATCGTCCTACAATCATTTGAAACAGGATATACACTTGCACAACATGCATTCCTGATCTTGTACATTTTCAACTCTGTTTTTTATTGTATATTGTCCACAGTACATATTCGACTGTATATCTCGTCTTTTCTGACATATTCTATTTTTTTTACATACATTTCTTCACAAATTCATATTTTGAACCGTTCTAGTTTATATATTTCAAACACACATTTTATATTCTGCATTCAGAAGAAAACGAAAAAGCAAACGCAAAAGTATATCCAAGTCCACCCACTCATGTCGGAATATGAGTGGGCATCAACGCCGTCTTGTACCAGGTCCCTCACTTTCGGAGGATGACCAACACGAAAGCTACCATGAACATGACCTTGAAAATGATAGTCCACCGGCCGAGGAAGGGAAGGGTTCTGCGACGTGGAAGAAGAGGGTTTCGACTGCTTGTTTGGCTTGTAAGAAGTCGAAGAGGAAGGTGAGATTTATATACTCCTATACTACAGGTATATCCACATCTATATCAATTCCAAAACAAACTAACAAATCAAGTGCTCCGGCACATCCCCTTGTGCAAACTGCCAAACCTTCAAAAGAGTCTGCATCTTCGATGAATCCCTCGACCAACGCCGCCGCGTCGCCGCAAAAAGAACAGCAGACGAACTCTCCTACCACCGCGACCTCCTCTCAGACCTCTTCAAGCTCGTCCGCGAAGCAAACGAATCAGACGCTCTACACCTACTCACCATAATCAGACACAATGCCCCCGCCGACGAAATCCGCGCATACATAAACGAAACACTCGCTTCCCTTACATCAACATCAACATCGACAGCGCATAAACAGGAAACCGTCGCGAAGCTCGAAGATATGCGCCAGCTTATCAATGTCGAGGGTACAGGTCCGACTTTCAGAAGAAAGGTTATGGATATACATTTCCTTTGTGATTCGGCACCCTGCGAGGTTCCTGCGAAGCCCTGGACGAGGGTTACCGCTGATGCGGATTTGGTGTCGCATCTTGTTTCGTTGTATTTTGCGTGGGATTGGCCGTTTGCTGCGGTTTTGGATAAGGAGGTTTTTGTTAGGCATATGGCTAGGGGGGTTCTTGGGTCGGAGTTTTGTAGCCCGTTTTTGGTTAATGCGGTGCTCAGTAATGCTTGTGTGGGTATTTTCCTTTATTGGTGGGTGTTTTGGTTCAGTGGCTGATTGGTTTATTTAGTACTTCTCTGAGTTCTCTGAGGCTTATGTTGTTCCTGGTGATATCTCTTCGAAAGGATGTGATTTCCTTGCTGAGGCGGAAAGGTTGAGGGGCGAGGAGAGTTCGCAGCCTAGTTTGGCGGGATTGCAGGGGACATTGTTGATGTATGAGAGGTTTGTATAGACATCTTGAGACTGGTGATTGGGATGTTCTGACATTGGCAGGTATGCAATGTCCCGCGAAGACGATCTGGGATATATCATGCTGCACCAGGCCATTCGGATGGGTGAGGCATTGGGTCTGGTTGGCAGTACAGGACCCAGAATGGCTTCGGGAGAATTATCTCAGGACATGGATATCTCATGCAAGCGCACAGCCTGGGGTTTATTCAACGTTGACACGTAAGTGATCCCACTTAACACTTACCCTCCGGACGCGAATTCATATTAACACCCCCAGAATGGTCCATACATCCTTCCTCCGGCCAAGTCTGATAGACCACGTCAACATGGCCCGACTTGATATCAACCAATCCGAAGATCAAGCCCTCTGGCAACCATACCCAACCCACCGTGACCCACGCCCGTCATTCTTCAGTCAGTACTTCGACGAAGCATGCAACCTGTCGACAATTGCGCGCGATATCTCCCGCAGCATGTTCGCAGACCATAGGAGTAATACTGCCCTCGGACCCATCCACCGCCAGAGCCGCGAGGATCTATACGACCGTATTCGTCGCTGGCACGAGCTTCTCCCGGAGGACTTTGATGTGCGGTACAGACCAGCTCCGCATATCATTTTACTGAAGTAAGTAGAACCTCCCAAATCAATCCGTCAGCGAAAGCGAGAAAGCAAAATACTTATCCTATACAGAATGCGCTACAACGCCCTCATCATAAACCTCTTCAGCTGCATCTCCGAAGACGAAGTCCCACCCATCCCCTTCGAGCCCAAAACACCCGAAAGCCCACCACGCCACACCCCCGAGACGAAATACAACGCGCGGGAAGTAACGCAGAGCGCGGCACGCGGCATCGCATCCTTAACGCGTCTCCACAGACGCGAGTTCGGTGTTGGTCGTGTGCATCAGTTCGCCATGTATGCGATCAACCTTGCGCTGTTTACGATGCTCGAGCACGACTCGTTCGATGTGTTAGATGAGGATTTCCTCACTCTTGCGAGTGCGTTCTGTGTTGTCGCGAGTCGGTCTACGCTGGGAAGGAATCTGTTTCATATTTTCCGACAGTCGGTGAGGGCTAAGGCTCAGGGGTATCGGATTCGGGGGGCGAGTGCTGTTCCTGATGAATTGAAGGATTTGGTTGATGAGGCGTCGAAGGAGAGGGGATGTAGTCGGTTCGATGAGTATGCTGATGGGCTTGAGAAGTTGAACCAGAAGGATAAGTATCATGGGATTGGGGAGGGGAATGCGAAGGGGTTGCAGGATTATCCTGGACTTGGACTTTCGGATATGTTGGATCGGTATGAGAGTCTTAGTCTTGGAAAGGATGATGTCTTGGGGGAGAGGTATCGACCTGTTGGATGTTGATAGGAAAAGAGAAAAGAAAAATGGGATATGGGAAATGATGGAGACACAACATCCAATGTACTGGCATCGTCATCGTCGTAATCTCTCTATCTGCGTCATATGTCTCCAGGCACATTTCGCCTTAATTCGCCTTAATGGAGTGGCGACTCGGTTGTATGTGTTCCATAGATATAGTTCGTCCAGAGGTGTTCAGGGTGATATTCAAGGTGATATTCAAGGTGACACAAGGAGAATACTTTTGAATGAGACAGTTACTGACAGGTCAATGATTGATAATAAATAATAGGAGAATCCTAGATGATTGGGAGTTAATAGGTGTGTTTGTGTTTTATAGAAGTTGACGGTTAAGGTGTTCTCTGACGTCAAATCCCCAGTTCATCGACCCACCAAAGTGGCGAGGAGGATATCATGTCCATGGTGAGAGACTCTCCCATATTTGGGGAATATTTGGTAGATTTTGGGAAATTTCCAAAGTTGTTAAAACCAAAACATTCGAATCAAATCTCTGATCCCTGTTTCTCTTTGGAAATATTTTTCGACATGGGCTTGTCCCGCCTACTTTTGTAACCTCCCCTCTCTCCAACCTCATTAATATATATTCATTTCAATTATATTCAGAACATTGAGATCGATTGAATATGGATAATCTTGAAAATCAAGATGACACTTTCAACGGCTACGACTGGATGCCATTAAATGTCGGAGCTGTACTTCAACAGCCATATCCCACGCCTATTCCCTTTTCACCAATTCAGGCCCCAGCCGAAGCCTATTCACAGTATATGTCTGTCCCGCAAGCAGCTGGATCAGGAAGTACCGCACCAAAGGTAGCCATCCCTCGCCTAGCCGGTTCTGATGCTTTGCTACACGGGCGCCGACGGTCAGCGCGGGCCTGTGAGCCTTGTCGCCAGCGCAAGATCAAATGTGACGGTATCCGACCGTCGTGCGGACAATGTGCATATCACCACCACAGCTGCTTATACGAGGATGTGAAACGAGTGCGCGACCAGAAGCGACTCGGCTCCTTGCTCAAGCGAGTGGATGCATACGAAGCCCTTCTTCAAGAGTTAGAAAGCGAGGTGGACCCTCCTACAGCTCGAAAGATCAAAAAAGCATTAAAGGTATGTCCAGGCAATGTCAGATATCATGATTTAAGTCCCGAGTTCAGATTCTGACTGTTTGTCATTTGGCAAATTAAGTCCAAAAGTGGGGAATCCCCTAGAAACCCTAGAGACCATGTCGACTCAGATGATTCCGCTACATCTATCGGCTCACTCGATGCTATCGACCAGGTTGACGAAGACCTCAATCGGAATGAGGACACCCGTGCTGCGGGCTTCTTTGGGAAGAATTCAGAGGTCAATTGGATTCGCAAGCTGGATAGTGCTGTGGGGATGAAGAGTCCACAGGAACATGTGTCGAATTCTTTCCACATGGAGAGTCACCGTGATTCAGTGTCTGTTGATCAGCAGCAGCAACAGTCATTGGAAAAGCAAATTCCTACTTCGATGATGGATTATCATCTCGACAGTCTGGATATTCCATTGATTGAACCATGTGACCCATTAGATGTGCCCCCCCGGGAATTGGCAGATCGATACTTCGATGCATACCTGACCAACGTCCATCCTACGTTCAGTGCAATTCGGAAGATGACCTTCATCTCCCAGTATCAGAAGTTTTTCGATAATGCATTGAAACCACCCCGGAAATGGCTGGCCATTCTGAACATGATCTTTGCGATTGGGTGTCGCTATTGTCGACTCATAGATGACCCCCAACGCACCGACGAGGAAGACCTAGTATACCTGACCCGGGCACGCCATCTCGGTCTACACAGCAATGTGCTATTCGAGCACACCGATCTGCAGCAGATCCAACTCGAACTCCTCGTAGCAGTTTACCTGCTTTGTCTGGGACAGGTGAACCGGTAGCATCCTATTTCCCCATTCCCCCAGCACCATACCATAATACTAACCCCCCATCCCCAGAGCATCCAAATTTTCCAACATGGCCCTCCGCTCAGCTTTATCCCTCGGCATCAATCTCCGTCTAACAGACGACTGCACCAAAGACGCCGCTAAAGAAAGCCGTGGCCGCCTCTGGTGGTCCATCTACTACCTCGAACACCTCATAACTTCAATGACAGGCCGCGCGTCCTGCATCGGAGAAGGCCTCTGCTCCGTCCCCCTACCCCTCCCCTACGAAGAAGAAGCCTTCGATCAACCCGACGCCAAATGCCTCCTTCAAGATCCTGCCCTCCGCCAAGCCCAACTCCGCTCCACCCTCTTCGAAGCTCCCAGCCAACACCACTCCGCCGCATGGGTAACTACCTGCCCACCCTGTCCACCCCTCTTCTTCTACTTCCTCATCGACCTAACCCTCATAACCCACTCCCTCATAAATAAAGTCTACAGCATCGAAGGCCTCCGCAAAGGCCCACGTCAAGTAGAATACTACGTCCAGAAATTCAGTCTCCAAATGGACCGGTGGCTCTCAAAACTTCCTTTATGCTACTACTTCACCATCCCAAACTCAACCTCCTGGCACATAAACCATCTCCAACTAGACGACTTTTCCGGTCCTTTCATCCGCGAAAGAGTCTGTCTAGCAATGAACTACTACTCCGCCCGCATAACCCTCTGCAGACCATGTCTAAGCCACATCCATCAATCCCCACGCCACGCCCTGCCAACCGGTGAACCAACCGCTCGCGGGAAACTCCGCTCTGAAATGGCTACACATTGTCTGCAAGCTTCCTGTGCGCTTATCTCCGTCCTCCCAGAAGACCCGAATATGACATGGCTTGCCCGTGCTGCGCCTTGGTGGAGTTACTTGCATTTCCTCATGCAGGCCACTACGGCTCTATTACTGGGGTTATCGTATTATTCAGAACAACATACATATAACAGTCCGGACCGCGTGGATTCACTCCTTTCGCCTACTACGCCGCCCATTTCCCAGGGAGTCGGTGTTTTCCCGCTGCTGGCGGAGAAGGATTTGGGTACGGCTGTTTCGGCCACGAGGAAGGCGCTGTTTTGGCTTCATGCTACTGCTTCTGTGGATGCGGCGGCGCAGAGGGCATTTTTGATTTGTGATGGGATTGTTAGGAAGATTGCGCCTGGATTGGGGGTTGATTTGAGTGAGTGGCCTGATGGGAGTTGTTTTGAGGGGTTGGCAGAGGATAGAGAGAAGGGTTCTAGTGGGAATGAGAATGGGGATACGAGTGGGAATTGGGGGGGATAGTAGTAGAAATAATGGTCATGATAGTGGGAGTGGGATGGAAGCGTTTGAGGAATTGGTGGATTTTGAAGGTGGTGTTTTTTAGTTTCTAGTTGTATATTGATGAGAATATGATCGATGAAGCAATAACAGTCGCTTATATGGCCTGTATTAGTCTTTTATATAAAGGATACATTTTTACCGCCTTTATATATACATGAAAAGGATGCCTAAAAGGACCATTAAAAAGACCACTAAAAAGACATCACAAGGCCACATAAGCGGCCGATTATTCTTGTTAGTATACACGTTTTGAGAAGATGGTGATCCCTGCAGTGAGGCAGTATCCAACGAGAGAGTTATATCTCGCGTGGCATACATAGTCGCCCGTACTCCTGGTTGTTGAAACCGAAACATAGAATGATCAAACTTTTAGCAACACTTTTCATTTGAAGAGTATTGATCGAGCAGCTGTGGCGACTGGGAATTATCCAAGCGGCAGAAGCACGATGCCTTTATCGGGACATCGGCTACAGCCAGAGCTATTTTAACCGGCTGCTCGATGACAGCTGCTTCATCCATTTTCCCCAAACGAACTAGACACTCATGATACCCCTTCAGCGACCAGACATTGTTCGGATGACGACACGGCCGGATGATTGAGGTATCCATACCCAAATCTGCGCGATATGTCTTTGCTGCCTCTTCCAAGTGGCCCTGCTCCATCAACAGTGCAGCATACGCATGGCGAACAGGTTGCATCCATGACCAGGGTTCACTGTATGGCAGTTTGTCCTCATGGTCAATTGCACGACGGAGAGCCTCGAAGGCCTTATCGTAGTTGGCGCAACGGTATTCGATTTCTCCTTCTAACATTGCCCCAGCCACCTGGAGCACATCGACAATTGTACCATTGTATGCGCGACGAGTGATAGGAACCCGAGCCCATGCTTGGTGGAAGAGCTCCTGTTCCTTTTTGGCTGACGCTACGTCCCCTGTGGCGGCGAATGCGATGCCTCTGGCATAGTGGGTGACAGCAGTGGTGCCTGCATACAGAGATTGATCCCGGGGTAGCTCTTTTACCTTCAGCTCCTCCCACATGCCAAATCGTACCATCACATGTATGCGAATAGACATGAACTGCTCTAGCCAATCAGCCATAGGTGGGGACTGGATTCGAAGGACTTCTTCAGGCACGGTGGATTCCATGCGGGTGACGGCCTCAAGGGCAACCTTGGATTTACCAGCAAACATTGCTGCATAGATCAAAGAGTGGTAGTCGTGCAGCCGATAGAAAGTATAGAATTTGTTGGCACCTGACTTCTGGAAGTACTTGTCATCGGCGAGTGTTGATTTATGGTTTGAAGCGATAGAGCGCCGCCAGTCGCCAATGAGAATATCCAAATGGGTGGGCATGTGCTTGAGGTGACCAGCGTCGGGAACGAGGTCGCGTAGATGATCCGCAGCATTGATACCTAGCTCAGGAGTGGGCGACATTTCGATGAAGTGAATGTATAAGTGAAGAAGCCCGGGGTTGAGATATGCACCATCCTCTTCCTGTGCAAGCGCCTTCTCGAGCACTGCTTTTACCTCCATAGTAGGGGCTGCCGGGTTCGGCTTGCCGGTGAACAGATCCCATAGAGCCCAGGGGGCCATATTCATCAAGGCATCGGCATAAAGGGTGGCAATATTCAAGTCACTTCCGAATTCATCATATACTGGTTTCATCGCTACGGCATAGCCCTTGTTCAGGGCTGGGTAGTCTGCCGCAGGCTGGTTGGTCGGGAATCTAAATTGGATCGCGTCGATAAGAGCTTGTTCAAGTAGGGTTGCATTTCCCGCGTATTTCTTTGCTTGTCGTGAGGCATCATATCCTCGCTGCACACATGTGTGGAGATCCCCTTGGTCAAACGTCTCCCATGGCTTGTTGTAGTTTGGGCCAACCGCATAAGCCAAGCCCCAATAGGCCATAGCGCACGCAGGATCATGGGCAATAGCCTGCTCAAAGCAGTAGGCGCCTTCCATGTGGTTGAAAGAATATACCCATATCAGACCACGATTGAACCAAATCTGGGCGTCAGCGCTGGTGGTGGTGATGGTGTGGCCAAACGAGCTGAGGTCATAGTATTCGTCACTAGCTGGGACTGATGCAAGAGTTTCTCGAGTCATGATGAAGGTAACAAATGTTAAAAAAAATGGAGGTTATTTTGGGTAAACTTATCTGGGCTTTATATATATATATATATATAACTTGGGACTGAGGGGCGCATTCGGAGTCCAAAGCGGAAGTGGGGGACGGAGGTATAGGCGTTAGCTACCAAAGCCCGATTTCTAGTAAATATGGATGCCTTAATGCCTAGTTTTGGCCTGGTTCTTGACTGCTCATTACACCGCCCGATATAATATACTGTAAATTTTCAATACTTTCAAGTGATGATTAAGGGAAGTATCATAGTAATCCAGGTATTTTAATTCCTCTGCCGGTCTTAAGTCAGGCATCAAGGTACCAACATTTACCGGAAATAGGGGTTTGGCAGCTGGCGCCTATACCGCAGCGTACTCCAGCCCTTCGACTAACATCAAACACCGAAGACACCGAAGACACCGAAGACTCAATTACAGTAAAACCTATTTATGACGATATAATTTAGGCACGGGAAAATTATCGTTATAGTTGCGTAATCGCTAAATCCCGGTGCTATATATCGAATGTATATTTCAAGGTTATATACAAATTCAGCTCTAAAAAAGCTTCTGATATCGCTCTGCTTTTACCTTTTTAATTGGCTAAGATCGGCTAAAGGTTACGTGACTGACTAGTGAGGTATTTAGCTGGTTAGAAATTTTGCGTGGGAGAAGAGGGTAAATTAACGACAATCGTAGAAAGGAGGTTTGAACGATTTTTATACTCCGTATGGCGGATCAATTCAGACACCAGGTTTTGATCTCCGGGATCGTTATAAATATGTTTTACTACACTACTAATGATTGATACTTTAATCTAAACGTTTGCCTAAGCTCTGGTGTCACCGTCATTAGACAATGCGGACACCTTAACTCAACGTCTTATCATATTCATTTTCCCTTCTCGCCCTCGATGTTTAATCGGAAAGGTGTAGCTTCTATACCAAAATCATTCTGGGAAACATTTGAAGAGAGCCTCATAGGTGATGAAAAGTAGGATTTTTTACGTTTTCTTCGGCGAATACTATGCTGGCTCCCAGAAGGAAGACCGTCTGCTAAGTAATTGCTTTTTTATTCTTGGTTGATGTATGGTCTCTTTAAGTGAGACCATATATAGATCACGTCTTATTACACGTATTCATTCATTTGTTTATTCATATATTTCTCAATAACTCACGGGGAAGTTTTTACTTTAGGGGAAGCCCGCAGTGACACACTCTTACAAATCGCTGCAGTTACCATCCATTTCACTTATTGTGGCTTGCGCAACGCAAGGATAATTCTTATTTGCTCTAATATAAGATACGTCGAGGAATTCAGGTGAATTATGCGCGCCACTGCTAATGGGTTACGCCAGCTGAATGAACATCATGGGCACCTGCATAATCACCGCAGAATATCGATCAATATTTGGTCCGGTTACGACCTTCCGACCTGAAAACCCCTTATGTTGACGATGACGAAACACTAGTCCATTTAGCGAAACTACGTGTTGGCCTTTGCGTATAATATCTACCCTTCGCAATTGTGGCGTTGGAATCACGACGCATTCCATTCAACAATTCCTTCGATTTGAATTTATCATTTTAATTTTTCAAGATGGAATGTAAGCCAGCTATTACCACCGTCTCTCTTGGGTCATACAAGTTCCACAGTATCATAGACAAGATCGACGAAGCCGCACGAAATGGATTCAAGGCCGTCGAACTCTTCATCGATGACCTTGAAGCCCTTGCCAGAGACATCAACCCTGTACCTGCCAACTTTGCCCCTTCTCGCGACTCTGTATTAGCTGCTGCCCATCAAATCCGCGAGCAATGTGACAGTCTGGAAATTGTCATCCTTAACCTCCAGCCCCTGCGCTTCTACGAGGGTCTGGTTGATCGGAAAAAGCGCAACCAAATCCTAGATGAGGTACTGCCCGTATGGATGGATGCGCTCAAAATACTCGGCGCAGACACTATTCTAGTCCCCTCAAACTTCCTCCCCGAGGACCCTGAGACTGGACTTCCTCAGACAATCGGCGACTTGGACATAATCGTCGAAGATCTCCGTGAACTGGCTATCCGAGGCGCGCAACACGAACACTCCATCAAATTTGCTTACGAGGCACTTGCTTGGGGCACGCATGTCAACACTTGGGAAAAGTCTTGGGAAATCGTCCAGGCAGTCAATCGACCCAATTTCGGCCTTGCCCTGGATACGTTCAACATTGCCGGTGCCATCTACGCCGATCCAACCACAGAGGATGGTCGCGTTGCGGACACAGCTGAGGCCGATCTATTCGCCTCACTGGCCCGGATGGCTTCTACTCTGGATATCAGCAAGCTGTTTATCGTCCAGATAGCCGATGGCGAGCGTCTCAGCCAGCCACTGGGCCCGGGCCACCCTTTCTATGTTGCCGGTCAGCCCAGTCGACTGAGCTGGTCTCGAAACTGCCGGCTTTTTCTTTGTGAGAACGAGAGTGGTGGGTTCTTGCCTGTCCTCACCATATTGAAGGCTATCCTCGATCTCGGATGGACTGGATACCTTGCGTATGAGGTCTTCTCGCGTTCATTGGCAGATGCTGATCACCGGACACCGGCGCTACATGCAGAGAGGGGAAAGATATCTTGGCAGCGGCTTTGCAGGATTGCAGAGACTCAAATAAATCAGTCCGAAACTTCCAGTCCCAGAGGATTCAAATTAGGTGGAATGGGATTGCTAGAGACGGCGGTGCATGGGGTGGAGAGAGGGGTGGACTCAGGGGTCTCGCATGGTAGAATTGTGATATAAGAAATTTCTATATCTAGGCATGAATGAATCCAGGCAGTTTGGTATTTGGAAACTAAAAATAGCTATGGTCCTCCGTATATTCGTATTCCCCATAATCTTTCAATGCCGAGCTAATTGACCAATAACAATATTGAATGAATTTCCAAATATTTTGCGAAAGCACATAGTGCAGTCAACTAAAAGCAAGTATTTTGCTCAGCCCCAAATAAACAAATAAGGTCAAGCTGAATTTCTCGTAGGCACCTCAAATGCATCTTCATTAAGTCAATTCTTCCATTAATGACCACACGCATATACTAGCCACATTCAGCATGTTTGCGTTGGTCGATTGTGGCTGGCTGAGACGTGATGGCATATTTTCCGTGCATTTAAGGGAGCTATCGCTAAGACAATATGATAGTACGTAGCTGAAAAAAAAGGATGAAGTTAACCTGGAACCTGTCATATTATGGGGGAGAAAAAAACCATGTGATGCCCTGCACCTGTGATCAATGGATGCACTATTATTGGGTAGACTCAGCTCGCTTCTGTAAGATTGAGTTGCCCAATAAATGTTCTCTCTTCTTCTGCTCACGCAACTAAATAAAACAACCTCGCTGCGTCGGCGTTCATGCAGTCGAGTAGATTACGGAGATCTGCAAGGCACAGAGACTCGCCACTGCCACAATTATAATTTTGCGAGCATATTGTTGCTGATTGTACATTACGTACCTATCACTGGAAAAGATTATAGTCCTTCTTTGTCACCTATTGGTCCGAAGTATACACGAATATACATAAATTATAGTAAAAAGCACACTCAACATCCGTTATCGTTGACCTTGACCCTGTTCCCGTCAACTTCAGGAGCTGCCGACATGGAAAAGAACGACGAAAGCCCAGCGACCAAACATAGAATCCCAAGCACTAGTGTCATAAATCCCCAGCATAATTCATGTTTGATGAATCCACCAGCGATGGGACCGAGCGTTTGACCAGCTGCAAATGCCATGTTACAGAGTGCGTAGCCCCTTGCCTGTCCGCTGCTTTTCTCTTCTGTGATCCGGTGAAGGCTTTCAATCTTCCGGACTGCATTGGAGACATCTCCCATAATAATCGCTTGAACTGTTGTAAGACATACTCCGACGACGAATAGTAAGAAAATAAGTGCGATTTCATGATGGATGGTGTTTGCTTGTGTCCACCGCAGTGATACCGTAGGTACTGCCATCAAGAAGAATCCAGTTACCACAACCGTTCGTGGCACAAAATGCCTTACAAAGTGGGCAATTGGAATACCGAGGACGGAAGGTATTGTCAATGGGAGGAATACAAGTCCCGCGCCCAGACTAGACCAATGGTATGTGTCAAGCACGTACAGTGGAAGGGTCTGCATCTCAGTCAGCCTTGCCGTTCCTTATAAGGTAAGAAGCATAAGGTACCGTTTCAATGGCAGATAAAATGAAAGAAATGACAAGAACTGAAAATATCAAACCCAGGATGAGTGGATGTAGGAATTGGTAAAAGCTCAATGAATTATCGCCAGAGCCACTGTCACTGCTTTCCAATAGAGGAGAATTCTCCTGGTGATGTTTTTTGGTTTCATCTGTTTCTCTTCTAATTAGTATCTAGGAGCAAGAAAGAAAACGAACCCGCGACAGACCTCCATCTTCCTGTACAATCAACATCCGCAGAATAATGTCAACCGCAAGCAGTGCAATTGGGACACCGAAAGCACCAACAGTGCCAAATTGGGAAAACCTGTTTTCTCAGACATTTAGATCGTCAATGGGATAAATATGCGAGAAAACTTACAGGAAACAACCAGTCATAGGACCACAGAGCATTCCCCACGTTAATGATGCTGACCCGCAAGCCATATGCGAACCCAACTGTTCCGGACGGGATGTTTCAGCGATCATGCTCAGCCCTAAAACCCCCACTACAGCTCCTGACAGACCCTGGCATACTCGAGCTACGAGAAGCACCCAAACATTATTCGCAGAAATGAATAGGGCGGTCGCTAGGGCCATGGCGATGAAACCAGAAACCAATGGTGCTTGCCGAGTGCGATATTTGTCGCAGAAATATCCCACCACAGCTATAACTCGACCATTAATACGGGGGGGAGTGAATGGATAGTGGATTTACCCACGAGAGCCAAGTAAAAGAGCAGCGCCATAGGTCGCTAATAAAACAGACGACCATTTTTGAACTAAAAGCTGCCAGTCAAACAGGAGTTCCCAAGTTATGGAAACATAGATTGAAATTACCGTCCTTGGAAGCCATGTTGCCATGGCCCATCAATAAGAAAGGAAGAATAGGTACGATCTAGAAATTGGTATGTTAGATTGATGTGGTATCCTCAGATGAGCTAGAAACACTTACGATGCCATAGACGAAAGTGTCCTACCGTAACAATGCAAGGTTAGTTGGTGAGATGTGATTGCATCAAGATCACCTACCGTGAATAGTGCAAAACATAGAGCCACTAGTGTAAAGGTACCGGAGGACCTTGCTTTCCGGGTAAATATTTGCTGAATGGCCATGGTGAATATTGAAATTTTGGTGATCTAGTGAGTTGACAAATGCGAGACTCGGGAAAATAAAGCAAAAGATGGAGACACGAGGGTGGCTTGAGTTATGAGGAGCTGAAGACAAAGATGTGAAAACAAGGATGTGTAGCTGAAATAGCAAATAAACACACAAGTCGACGAGGAACAAGGCTGTGCAGTTCCTCAGGCAAAAAAGAAAAGAAACGAAAATCACCCATGTATTGTTAGTTACCACCATAGTTAGCTAACTAGCATGTACTCCATACGGAGTACTCCGTGCGTCAAATCCAGCTGGTTCTAACTTCAATAATATGCATGATGTATAAAATAAATCCACTGTAAATGTAAGTAGGAGCTGAGCTCTTGTAATACCCCTATCCCTACTCTGTGTATTGTCTGGAATTTATCTATTTATTCGGCCGTGGAATACATATGGTCGATAATATACAACTAGATTTCTAACTTCTTCACTCATTCGTCATCCTTCATCATGGCGCCCTCAATCGCAACCCTTGAACATGAGTCTTCTATTATACCCATCAACGGTTCCAAGCTACCAAAGAAAGCTCCCCTCCGATCCCACAAGGATTCGTCGATATTCCACTTACCCTGTGCGAATCTCATATTCTCGAGGCTGCGAACTCCCAATACTTGGAATACTTGGATCTAGAACTGGCCCAGAGTCTTGATTTCGAGTCCGTTCTCATTGTTTGTTGGCTACTGGTCATACATGGTTTCTCTCCTGTGAGAACCATGTACTTGGAATTCCACCCTGGGTCAAATCTGTGCTACATAGATGGCAAATCCCAAGGGACCGATTCGCACGCTCTGGAATTTTCCTCGGAGCGTCCACTGAAGGATCTTGTTCGGGATTTCTGTCGTATCAAGGCAGGCATTAGCTCGACTGACCCTGACGAAGGGTGGACTTCCGATGAGAGGAATCACCTTACTTCGGCTGTGCGCTATGCTGGTGACTGTCCAAATTTGAGAAGGGCACCTCTGTCTGCCAATTCGAATGTACCGTTTGCCTATCCTTATTTATTTATCCCCAGTCCTACAGCAGAAGCTGATCTTCTCTCGGTCTAGATCCCTAATCCAAAGTTGATGCTCAATGTGACGAATGACAATGACAAGCTACACGCGAGTCTTGCTTTCTCGTCACCTGAGATGTCCAAAGCATTCGCAACAAGCCTTCTTCACTCCTTGAACAAGGTCATCGCATCCATATACCGTTCCCCCGAAACATCCTTGGGCGACCTTGATCTATGCTCTGATCTTGACCTCATTCTCGTGCAAAAATTCACCAAGGATGTTTCGGACTCTCACGAGGTCTTGTTACACGACATGGCGATGGAACATGCGCGACTCACCCCAAACGCTCCCGCAATCTGTTCGTGGGATGGAAACTTCACTTATAGAGAATTGGATGATCTCACAACTCGTCTTGCTCTTTACTTGATCGATATTGGTGTTGGTCCCGAAACTTTCGTGCTCAGTTGTTTTGAAAAGTCCTCTTTTGCGATTATTGCTCGTCTGGCTATCTTGAAAGCCGGCGGGGCGTATATATCTATCGACGCAAGCGACCCTCCCATCTTCCTCGACTCAGTCGTGAGTCGCGTCAACGCTAAAATTATGCTCACATCACCTGAGTATGCATCGAAATATGCTTCCCTTGTTTCGAATGTCATTTCGATTACAGGAGATATGCTAAAAGACCTTCCCACGGGGCCGCTATCTTCCACTGTCAAACCGGGAAATGCCTGTCTGATTCTATTCACCTCCGGGAGTACAGGTCAGCCCAAGGGAATCATCCAGGAACATCGGTCTTACGCCACCGCAGTCCGCGATTACAACAAGGTCCTCGGTCTAGGCCGACACAGTCGCGTATTCCAGTTCGACGATTATGCATTTGACATCAGTAACAATGATTACCTCACAGCGTTGGCTGCCGGTGGCTGTTGTTGTGTTCCCACACCCGAAAAAACCATCTCTGGTCTGATTGAAAATATCAACCTCACAAACGCCAATATGAGCTTCATGACTCCAACAATTGCCATCCAACTCAGTTCCAAAGATGTCCCATCGCTACAGCTGCTATGTATCGGCGGCGAGCCCATGTCAAATGATCTACTCATGAAATGGGGTCCTCATGTGAAACTTGTAAATCAATACGGAATGGGTGAGGCCGCTACATTCTGCGCGTACAACGATAACCCGAAACCAGGCCATAATGCCGTTGTCGGGAAATCCGGTAGTGGTGCAATTTGGATTGCGAATCCCTCCTCGCCCGAGCGACCAGTACCTGTCGGCGCTGTTGGCGAGATCTTGATCGAAGGACCCCATCTCTCCCGTGGGTACTTGGATGATCTCTGCCAGAAACCAGATGTAGGATTCCTCACCACAGTCCCTCGGTGGATCGCGGATCTCCATCCGTCGCGAGCAACAACCTCGCGCATCTACCGGTCTGGTGATCTGGGTCGGTATCGCCACGATGGAACGGTGGAGCACATGGGTCGAAAGGACACACTTCTTAAACTCAACGGTGGTCGTGTTGAGTCGACTGAAGTGGAGTATATCCTTCGGAAGACTCTTTCACCGGGCGATTTTACCGTCGTCGATATGCTCGGCGAGATTGACGGGACCGACGACCCCATCCTAGTGGCATTTGTTTATCTCGGGGACAACCCGGCAAACCTTCTTCCAGGAATTTCAGATCATGAAATGTCGTTCCTTCCGATAACGAATCGTGTCCGGGTGAATAGTCTGGTCGAGACGATGCAGAGTGAAGTCTATAACACACTGCCAAAACACATGATGCCGAGCTTGTTTCTCCTTGTCGACCGGATCCCCCGTACAAGGTCTAACAAGCTTGATCGCAGAAAGTTGCATCAAATCGCTCAAAAGTGGTATATGGGGAGCCTGAGTGTGTAAGTATATTCTAATTCTTGTTTTTCGCCCGTTTGGGATTGGGTTTTTCTTGTTTTGGCCAGGTCCATGCGGCAGGCTAGGGGAGTTTCAGCTAACGCGTCGTTCGGGTGTCCACTCATCATGTACATTTATCATAGCTATGGTTTTCTCAAAACAAAACTGAGGAGGTCCTTGAGTTTAGAAATTGAAATTGTACCACTGCGTATCGGTAGCATTTGCATTAACTGTGGACCTTTTTTTTTGCCTAAGAGCTGCCCCTATATGGAGCAAGGCAACTAGGACTAAAAAATAGAGTTCACTATTTAATCTAATTAATCTAACCATGTGGAGGTTAAACAAAGCTAGTCATGCACAAATTGACAAAATGAGATTAGAACCGAGTATGTACTAAATTGAGAACATTAGATATATAAGAAAAAGAATAAAAACCACAGGCTAAGTAAACAATAGACGAAAACTGGAAAATGCCTGAGATGCCAATCACACAAAAGCGCGCAACGCCATAATAGGCCCACGAAAGTACTTGATACGAGACTTCATGGACGTAAAACGATCGATAAAACACACGTGACAGAGCCGATGAATGATATTAACACCGATGTTCTTTAGAATGAAATTCAAAATATACTGGTCAGAAGGGAAACTCCGGTCAATGAAGGTTGCATTTATTGAATGGAAACCATATTCCGAAGCGTATTCAGCACTAGGTTGGTTGCGGCTGCATCTGGACCTGGAAGGTATGCTGATGTTCATGCTGGGGTGCGGGTGGGGGAGGGGCCTGGCTCCGTTGGGGAATCGGAGGTCTGCGTTGCTGTCCTGGTATCCCGTGAACAGGCGACTCGGATGACATCGGGTGCTGCATCTGTTGTTGCATCGGAGATTGAAGATACGGCTGGTGAGGGAGGGGCCGAGGCGGGTGGACAGGAGAATGGTGATGCATTTGCATGTGTGGCATAGAGAGCGGTTGGCCAGGCTGCTGGGCCAGAGATTGGCTATGCGGCAAGTGGGAACCAGGTTGGGAGGACATATGTTGGTTCGGCTGCTGGTGCATGTGCTGGACTTGCGACTGCCCAATATGTTGATTGGCCTGCGCCTGTGAAGCTTGATTCTGTTGGAACATGTGGAGGTTCTGCTGCTGCGGCAGTGACTGGCCTTGAATCATCTGCGGGGGTGTCGGACCAGGTCTTTTGTGCGCCTCTTCATCGATCGAAGAGGTTGTACGGTTCAACGCTGTCGTTGTATCTGTGCCCTCACCCAGTTGAGGGTTGACGTCTGCCTGTGTCTGATCTCCACTGGCCGCAGCAGCGGCGGCAGCCGCAGCTGCAGCGGCCACATCAGCCTTGCGAGGTCTCCCACGTGGTCGGCCCGTGCCAGGCGCCTTTGGTTTGGCCGAAGCTGGCTTCCTTGGTTTAGGCGGTGGTAAAGGTTGACCCGTTGCGGCTGCCCACGCAATTTGATCAGCCTTACGAGGACGTCCACGTTTTCGCTTCAAAGGAGTTCCGTCAGGTCCTAGAATTGGCGTCCCCTTGGTTGTGATGTTGGTAGAGCCTGGAGCAGTCGGCGTCATGTTGGCAGTGAACGAAGCCTGTCCTGGTTGAGGTACTCCTGGAACCGACTCGCCGTTTTGGGCGGCCTGTGCGGCCTGCGCAGCAAGCCTGGCTGCGACTTCCTCCTTCCTCGGCCGTCCCCGACGACGCTTCGCAGGCGGAGTGGCAATCTGGTCACCCCCAACTGCAGCCACGGTGGGCATCTGCCCTTGTCCGTTGGGCTGTGTGGGGTTAGCGCTAGGAATGGCCGTGGGGGCACTTAGTTGAGGTTGGGCATGAGGCTGGCCCTGAGTCTGAACAGGTTGGGCTTGAGCCGGAGCAGTCTTCTTAGGTTTCGCTTTCTTCTTCGGTACAGGACTTGAGTCGTCAGCCTTCATAACCGGGCTGTCCGTGACGGAAGGGACAACCGGCGCAGCTGGCTGTGATGAAGGCACAGCAGCCGAATGCGGTCCCTGATAATGCTGGAATTGAGCTTGGTGCGGAGATGGCTGGAATTGTGTCTGCTGCTGGGAGAACTGCGTCTGGTGTGGGGCATACTGATGTTGCGATTGGGCTTGATGCTGTTGATATTGAGTTTGGTGGAACGGAGGCTGGGTGTGCTGGGAAAATGGTGACTGTTGTTGGTATGGGTTGTGCGCCTGAGTCTGGTGCTGTAATTTCTGCAACCTCTGCTGCTCCAATTGCTGCTTCTGCTGGTGCTCAAGTCGCTGCTGCTCCACCCGTTGCTGATGCTGTTTCTGATGCTCGAGCCTCTGTTGCTCTAGGCGTTGCTGCTGCTGCTGCTGCTGCTGCTGTTCCAGTATCTTCTGCTCATCCAGCTTTTGCTGTTCCAATTCCTTCTGTTGCTCAAGCCTCTGCTGCTGTTCTAAGCGTTGCTGCTGGATTTGCTTTTGCTGTTCCATCCTTTGCTGCTGCTCAAGTCGTTGCTGCTGGAACTGCTGCTGTTGAATCTGCTGTTGCAACTGTTGGTGCGTCTGCTGGGGCGATTGCGGTTGTGACTGCGGCTGGGCCTGTCGCTGTTGATTCATAGTGAACATAGACGGACTAGCCATAGAAGGACTGGCCGATGTATGACCATCCCTTTGTTGCATGCCTGCATGAGGTAGTCTGTTCATCCCCTGCTGTGGCGAAGCAACACTCATAGGATGTCCATGGGCAAGACCGGCTGTGCCCGGCTGCGGCCTAAGGTGCGCCATTGGATTAAACCCACGCTGGAGATTCTGTAGCCCCATGGGGTCTGGGCCACGAGACATCAGATCTGGGGAGCTCTGCGCTGCAAACTGGCCCGGAAACTGGCCGAAACTGCTGCTGGTTGGGTACCCACCTAATGATCCCGATGTCGGGGTCATCTTGCGCATATCAGGAGATTGCGACGCAGCGAAGTTCTGCTGAGGTTGGCCCCGAAAAATCGGCTTGTTACCCGGGAATGGACTGCCATGCTGTGGCAGCGGCGGCCCCGCACCTAGCAAAGGTGACTGGGCATGCTGACGTTGAGGCTGTGGACCCAACGGATGCTGGGGTTGGACACCTTGATGTTGCTGCTGTTGAGGCTGCTGCGGCTGTTGAGGGTGGAATGGGTGGCCACCGTAGTTCATCATTTTGACTCGATTTTAGAGATGCGCTGGCCTTGGCCGTAAGCGGCAGAGAATGAAGTGATCCAAAAGGGATCACGAAACATGCAAGGGCGAGGACGGCCAAATGATCGCGAGCTACCTTAAAAAAATGGAAATGTAGAATACAGAAGGGTAATTTTAACCAAGACTGTCACCGATGTCGCGCCAGCGCCGCTGATAATTCTATGCGGAGAATCGCCACCTGAGTCGCGCCGAGGCCGCGTGTTTGTTGTTCCTTGAAAGCCTGAGGCCACAAGGCAACAAGGCAATAAGCAACCGCGCACTGATTCCAAATTAGGCCTAGCGGCTACGGAGACCGAGGCGAGTCGGTAAGCGCAGTTCGAGAAAAATGAGTCGACGGTCGCTCAAAGGGATTCAGGGGGGGGCAGCTGGAGGGGATCCAGAGAGGCAGCGAAGGTGATCCAAATCTATTTGCTATTGGCCTTAACGGGATGTCAGGGCCCAGCAAAAGTAGATTGGAGATGAAGTGGATGACGCTGGGCTGGAATCCTCGATGGCGAGGGAAAAAAACATTAAAAAATAAAATAAAAAATAAAAAAAAAGAAATTGAAAAAAACGGAATTTTCAGATTCTCCTCTCCACATCACGTGATGCCTCACCAATCACCTTTCTACAAGTTACTGCGTATGTTGGTAGGCAACCCAGCTAGATATCACAGTCTATATTCATTTTATCATATAAAGTTGTCCCGTTTGAACATTTGAACTTCTGAACCTGCAATTTCTCTCCTCAATCCATCAATCCTATCCCTTTCCACTTGGTCATTTGCTTATCTTCCGCAATCCTTGTAAAGTATAGAAGGACAAGAATCACACCACACAGAGTACGTGCTACCTGAAACAAAAAATATATAGAGACATCATGCTGCTTTCCCAACATCCTTGTCCTCCGCTATCCGAGGATCTGCCAAACAGGGCGAGAAGGAAAAAATAAAAATAAAAAAATAAAAATAAAAAGCTTGAAACCGACCCCTTACAAAGTGCCAATACAGATTATGATCCACAATCAACCACAAATAGGGAACGGATCGGCACAATATTAGCCGAGCACTATATTGCCCATAGGTAAATCGATCTTGTCTTGGATATATCTTCGATCATCTTTTCAAGAATTTTCAAGAATTTTCGTTGAGGCTCTTTTCTATCTTTGCTTTTCTGACAAGAGGAATTGTTGCGCATGCAATTTCTATCTTTAATGATTTAGCACTTTAATAATTTGAGTTATCTGAGCCAAGATGATACAGGGGACGAAGTTGTATGTCGGATACCATATCATAAACACTACAGAGGACCTTTCTATGTATAATGGGAGACATAAACAATAAATCACTTACGTGTATTGTAAAATCTATATTGAAAGTAACTAGTACAGGCAACAACCTTAGATATATATAATCGATATTCAAGTGGATTATAACCCTGTCTGCTCTGCCACAAGATAATCGTCCCACACTTTCTTGATGTCATTCTGATAAATGAAATCCTTATCTCCATAAAGGAAGGAGTCAATCTTGGCTTGCAAAAAGACATCAAAATCCTTCTCTTGTGCTTGAAGTTGTTGCGTTTTATCGCGGATTTCGTCTAGATGCTGATACCTGCGAAGGGGTGGAAAAGCCGTGGTCAGACACAAGCCATTTTGCGCATAATCTCAAGTCCAAACTTACATCTTGGCATAGTACGGAGCCCTTATTTGTTCAAAGATCTCGAGAGCATCGCTTACAGGACGAGAAGCAAACCGAGTAAACTCGAGGGCCCGCGCGAGGATCCAACCATCCTCCATGGCAAACGTCGCCCCGGAACCAAATGCGCCTGGAAGGCCGTTAGCGTATGATAATAAGTCAAATCATAACACATGGACGTACCGGAAAGAGGGTGACTGGCATCTCCGATAAGGGCGACCTTGTCCCAGTGAGTGATCTTGTCCAGACGAGGTCCAGCGAATGTCGCAAACTCCCGCCATTCTCCTTCAGTCACCGCGCTTACTGCGTCTCTTATTCTTTGGTCGAATTTCTATTTTACATGTTAGCGATTGATGAAATTTTTCGTTCCTCTAAGGTATGCCGTACCTCAACACGCGATCCCACTTTCTCGTTGGTGGCAGGGATGCCCCAAAAGACTGTCTTGCCCGAGACGTCGGGTTCACGATAGGAACGAACGGTGATTTCAAAACGTGGATCTTTGGTCTCTTCCTCATCGTCCACATCGGAGAGATATACATGCCCAGCTTCGCCCCACCACCATGACGTTGTAGTCGTGATATCTGGGATATGAGCTAGACGAGACTTCGGAACAAGGACACGGAATGCACTGTTGCCTGTAAAGTGAAGCTGATGATCAGGTAATAGGACCCTACGTACAACCTATCCCACGAAATTGCGTCAGTCACACGTACTAGTTCCAACGCGAGAGGGTTGACGAACAGAATGTAGCCCGTCCGCCCCAACTACAATGTCTGCGATCGCCTCCGTTTGGTCTTGGAAAACTAAACGAACTCCTTGGCCCGAAAGATTCTCCAAAGATACCACCTTCTTGTCAAATTGGATCAAGCCCTCCGGAACTTGAGATAAGAGAGCTGACTGCAATCGGGTTCTGCGAGCACGGATTGCTCCTCGAGAATCTGCAGCCGAATTCTCAGGATGCTGAGTGACGTTCAAAACCTTCCCCGTGTAGGCATTTCTTTTGTGAATTTGAAGTCAACATATGCGCTAGTTAATACTGTGGTTAGAAAAGCATCGCTTACCTTTGGTGTGTATTGGATTTAGAACCTCCCTTTACCCCGTCACTGGCTCCAAGTAAATCCAGAACTCTCCATGCATTCGTACTTAGACTGATACCCGCGCCAGCCTCTCGGGGCTCTGTGTTTTTCTCATACAGAGTCACTTTTAGGAATGGCAGTTCCGAGAGAGCAATCGCCGTTCCTAATCCTCCAGGTCCTCCACCGACGATAGCAACCGAAGTCAATGCCTGTCCGACCATATTTGCGAAATAATTTTGTGTCTGGATGTGTCAGTTCTCAAAGTTTGTCTTGCTTATATATCCAAAATATTGCACCTGGTGGTCGGGAGTGGCCGGTAGATAACTACATCGCACGCCATACTGAGCATTGAATGTGCCATGCGGCACTAGTCTCCTATCCACCAATCCCACAAAAACCAAACCACCCCAAACAATCAGTCAATTCGGATAATAAAACCCCGCGTGTAAACTGTCATGCAATACTTCGTTTTGGCACGTGCGGGCCCGTTGGTGGTCGGTCGGACTGTTTCCTACTAGATGGGAGGACCAACGGTCCACACGGAGAGGTTTCTTTGTAGATAGACCTGTTTGTGAGTCAAGGGAATATTTCGGGAAAAAGAGAAAGCCACGTAGAAGCAAGTCGACTCCGCTCTCTGGTAATTTTGATGATTCAAATGTGGCTCCAGCCGAAGTACGCGGCCGCTTTGGAAGTAGTGGAGGGGAATTGTGGCATCCAACCCATCCTATAGAGATGCACAAAATTCTGTATAAATAGTGAACGTGGACTTGAATCACGGTGTACTTGGGTCTGGTAAGAGTGCGTCATTCCCGAATATCTTCGAAGTCGAAGTCCCATGTTAGGTTCCATGTCAGTGTACCTTATCATGGACGCATGGTGAGGGGATAGCCGTATCTTATACATGATTGCGATTAGCACGACCACGAACCGGACTTCACGGGTGAATTGATCAAGAGGTGCAGAATTAGCGAAGATGAGATTGACAAGGAGTCGCAGATATTTGGGTACTTGTCTGGCTTTACACTGAAAGATATCGCTGCTGGTATTGCTCCCCGTTCGATGCTGACTTAGGACGGAGTCGACAAATGTTTAAGTTCTCTCCGTGTTCGAGAAATCACCCCAAAGGATTACCAGCGCCATGAATTCTGGGACCAGAACCCGCCCCAGCGAGCCGATTCAGAACAAAACTCATCGTTTACATTTACTGATAGGATACGTTAGGTGTGACAGCATGAGGACAGACAGGTCGGAAAGTTATGATTGTTTGGGGAGATGTATCGGGTAACTACGATCCACGAAATTATCTTCTATTGGACGAAGGATGAAACAATATCACCAACAGAACCTTCTTTTTGACCTTCCTTCTAGTCAATTATTGATTTCATTCATATAGCCTCTAGGGTTCAATGTGCTTATGGCGGGTTATCCCGAGGTCTGCTAACTGATTCCAGGCCTGATATCAAAGAAGAACATGTCATTTCCATAGATACGTAAAAAATAGTCTAAAGGGTGTGTCGGTATCAACGGCCTAAAACATAGTGTAGGTAGATGAAACAAACAAAGAGAGATAGAAAGGCGCAAGACAAAGAACAGGAAGCACCTGCTTCATCCTTCAACAAGAAGCATGAACCGTGGGTTTGGCCCCAGGAAGAAACCCGTGAGCTTTGAAGAAACGCCTGTCACGAATGCATATAAACGCCAAAAGACCAGAAAGCCCACTTGAGAAAAAAGAGTTAGTAAAAAGAGCGACACCATTGCTTCAATTGATACGACTTACCACAGAAAGAAGACCAATGTAGCCGTAATCCCACCCAACGCTCGACTGCTCCCACTAGTCGACCCTGTAGTACCCATGATCGTGATAATGAACAGAGCGAACCAAAAAACGGTATCAATAATATTCAATATCATATACGCTTTTGTGCTTGCCCATCGTTTGAGTCGATCCATGTGAGTCGTCATTATTTGATAAGCCATGAAAACGGCTGATTTGATGCACTTTGGTTACGGGTTAGTGGATTCCATGCAAAATATTAGAGTATACCCAGAAAAAGTAACTTACCACAGCAATACCCCAAACATTTGTTCTTGTCTTCGGAGTCCCACTGTTGGCAATGCGTGCAATGATGAGAATGAAGACAATGAAGACCCAGGCCCCGATTATGATGTGGAGTCGGAACTTAAGCACCGGGCTTCTTTCGATTGATAAGTTCATTGTTGTGATGTGTGGCTTTTCTGTCGCTTTCTGATTTAATTGGCACCAGGGGGTTTAATCTGAGCACTGGTATGGGAGTGGTCGATTGCGGGGATCTTGAATAAATCTTAGATCAGTTCTTGGTATGGGGAAATCGACTTCTTTAAATATTGGATTATGCTTATTAGGCCTCGTAATCGTTTAGAATGCATACTTCAGGCAGTAGAATTCAAGATAATTTAAGAATAATTGTTGGGACCCTGACGAGGGCTAGTCTTGGCTCTACTTCGCATTCGTATTATTATCTTAATACGGAAATGATCACCCATAGCAACCAAATGTTCTGGATAAGACTTCTTTTCTAATTCATATTGTCTCCTGGTGATTACCGAAAGAAAAATGTGGCTCAAAAGGCTATTTCCGGCTCGCTGTACCGAAATATCGAATTTAAAGAGATTTTTAAGTTCATGCTCGGCGTCCAAGGTTGCCATTTCCTGGAGTCAATATACCGTCAATTAGCCTTGTCTACCACTTAAGTATGCCACTGGTTCATGACTCCCTCATTGGTTCATATTGCGAGGCATTAATTTAGATCCACTCTCACTTTACAAGTAGAAACAAATTAACTATATAGCTGAAGATAACGCTTGGTTAAAAAAAGATGTATAATCTGATCTTTATAGGGTTTAAGATTAATGGTTGGTCGCACTAGTATAAAGTTGATGAATTATATAGTTATATATAGAAAGGTCTATAAAAAACTCTTATATATGATATGCCTTTTTACCGCGCTGGTATATATCTAAAATGAATATAACAAGGCCGTATACGCGGCTGATCACAATTTTTGTCTCGTATATGCCTCCGGCGATGAATGAAGCAGTGAATGAAACAGTGAGGTAATATCTAATGAAAGACTTATAAACTGGTGGCATACTTATGATGAGAACATGGGTACAAATGGCACGAAGTAGACCAACCAAACATCACATGTGAATCTAGACAGACTCAGGTACGGTTCTGCGACCCAGATCCCAGTGACAACCCACGTTGGCGGAATATCAAGCAGGTTCTAATTGTGGCCCGGAGAAGAAATTAGAAGGGCTTGCAAATCCACACACGATCCGTAAGCCCAAGGTTTTCGTACTATATTATAATCAAGAAACCGATTAACCCCCGAACATGAGTCGACGTGAACCGGCCAATCTACGGACCTGAACTTTATTTCAATCACCCTGCCGATCCTAATCATGACGCTGAATTTAGAGAATGTCTAGGAAATATGAGCCTTTGCCTGTAAATCTACCCTACATATCAGCCGACGAAGGTTTTGGTTATTCCGCTCCAGTTCCATTTTTTTAGGCGACAAGGCTTAATCACCAGCAACCCAGAAAGGCGAGGGAATAAGGCCAGACTTGGATTCTTTGGTATAACCGCATTCTAACACCAAGCGATCCTTTCTATGGCTCACCCAAGCAAGCCCCCAAAATAATATTCGGTGCCGCTACTAATCGGTAGTCCCCCTCGTGGTTCCACTGTCAAACTTGATTTCCTTATGATTTAGGCGTGGGTCGAAAGCAAATCGGACGCTTTACTATATAGATCACTCTGCTTCGACTACCGATTCAATTGAATACAATCAGGTATATTTTCTTCTGATAACAAGGATCCAGATATTTCCAGTCCCAGAGTCCCCTTGCTACCCTGGCCCATCTCCCTATAGGAACACCCATGAACACTCATAGGGCCGTGGATCCTTGTACACTACTGTCCGCAGTATTTTGCAGGCCGTATAGGTCATGCTCCTAGTTTAGAATAATAAGGATAAAACTGTGTACTGTAGCTGGGCCTGTTCAGAGGCACTACGATCATGCTCAAATGTTTGCCTTTGACTTTAAAGCTTCCTTACCATTATCGTAATTCTAAATAAGGGTCATTGCTATTTCCTAAAGAAATCAATGGAGTGATATAGAATATTGCCAATATTTCTTATGTCGAGGATTCATTATTGAGTGACCATACCGTTTATGATAATATACTAGGACTATTTTAAATGAAATAGTTGGCCACTGTTCCTTCGATATAGCAATATAGGGCTCTATCCAACAATATACCGCTAGTATAGATATTCTGTTCGCTGGTATCTAAGTTTCCTATCGGCACGGACATAGTATATATAGCCCCATATCTAGGATGACGATCGTGTTCTTAGGGTACGGAAGCGGTGCTGGCATCACGCGGCCTATAGAAAAAGGTGAGCCTCTAATATAGGAAGAACAAAGGTATTTCGTACGTATTTTCGAGCGTGTCGATTGGGCTGATTATGATCTGTCGGACATCTTTGGTCGATTGGAAATTGGCGGGACTGAGATCTAGAAAGTGATCAGACAGGGTACAGCATGGGTCGAAATCAGTTTCACCACTTTGCTGTCATATAATCTCTCTTGAAACCTATTATGAAACACGGCAGGCTTAAAGCGGTTCTAAGTATTGAATTGTATTGAATTACATCAATGCGTGATAGAAGGTTCTATGAATTACTTGTAATACTCTTGCCAAAAATGCTGGAAACTCGTAGGCGACAATGATCCCACACTTTATTCGGAATCTTCCTCAGAGCTACTAAAAGAATCCAAAAGTTGCTCATCTTCCAAAGAATCAGAGTTATTGTCCCATGATCCGACCCCTTCGTCATCTGAGTCGTTCTCCGAAGAAGATACGCCAATATCACTCTGAGATACCCCATTTGCAGGACTACTATCTCGTGGGCTTCCATGAACCTCAGTATCCCAAGTCGATTGAGATTGCCCCAGAGAGTTCCGAGGACTCTCCTGTCTGGTATCAACCCCACTCGAGTACTCGTCTCCATCGAAACAAAAAGAAGTATCATCGTCGTCCTGGAGAGACCTTTTACTTCTATGCCCATCTGAGGAGCTAGAAGACTCCTCAGAACTACTCTCTCTTTTTCGTTTACGCCCAGCTAGGGTGCGACGTACAGGGGGGGGGCATAGTTATAAACTTTCGTTTTTGATTGATTAGCAACTGAAGGTTTACCTCATTTGTTTTTTTTCTTACTTATATTCATGGTACCGGTTGCGTTCCAAGTTCTTCCAAAGTTAGGACCACCTACAGTGGTTGTTATATCGCCAGTTTCTTCAAGGTAATGGTCGAGTTGTTAGTAAAATTTACCCACGTAACTGATTATTATTTACCTGGTGAAGAATGATGGTTTGTAACAGGTCCCGTATTAAAGCCCACCTGAAGGCCATGATTTCCATCATTGAAGGAAGCGGATGCCATATCCAGAGTATCCAGCGTTATCTTGAAGGCACATGAATCTGGGAGGGTTTACCTGCTTTTACCTTAAAAGCGGGGTTCTTGGGCTCGCAATCAGGTGATTATTTCGTGGCTCACCTATAGCCACATGTAAAGCCACTTAATTTACTCCAGCCACTTGCTTAGGTCCGCAGCTTGAAATAGACACTCTGATCACTAGGTCATATACATCTTTTACTAATGAACAGTCCCCGTGCTTCCATTCAATACAACCTTTGCTTGCCGAGAAAATAGAAGGATGACTTACGCTAGCTCTCTTGTTCTTCATCTGTCTAGACCTATTCAGACGGACATCTCTCAATATCTTATAGTGATGTGGCCACAGCTCTGCCTCACTTCCAAGGTTGGGATCTATCGGACCGTTGTATACTGAGGCAAAGACAATTGACTACGTTGGGTCGAGCTTAAGTACCCGGATCTACTCTTGGTCAAGCTTGAGTAACTCGAGTGGTCTAAAATGTACACTCCAATAATAAAATTAATGGAAGGGTTAATTCAATAACCATGGGAACGCGGCGGGGAGTTGATATAGTGTTTGAGGAACGGTAGTGTCTGGAAATGATTCCCCGAAGTCGATTATCTTGATAGACTGGGCCGAATTCCAAGAATGTATCCAACATAAGGTAGGCCTAACGATATGCCTAGGTATGCCCGGCTCTAGGTCTTTCCCGTCGCTCCTTCGGACGTGGCCAATTTCTGGCTTTCCTAGCATCTCAGTAAACTGCTTTCTCAGTTGCATTGTTCATACAAGGCACAGTAAAGGCCAAATTGCGGGTATGCAGATCTATATTATATGAGGATGATTCGAAATGTTCCTAGGAGAGTGGGGTGACTTACCTTTATGTGCAATATTCATTTGGTGCAAGCCATCAAGTCCGACAAGGCTTTGCTTGGCAATTATTTTGGCGAGCTTCCCAGGGAGTCTTCCGTTGGAAAAGTGTGTATCAATTGTGTCTGGAATGGTAGGCCCCACAAGCTCATATACCAGGCAATTGTAAGATCCATTTGGACCCTTCAGATCGAAGTTATCAAGTAAGTGCACTGTATGTTTTAGACGAGGGTACCGAAATCCCAACTTCTTCAGAGTTTCCAGCTCTCGCTTCTGCCCAATACAGTATATTTCAGCAACGGATATCTTGACAGCAACATAAATACCATCCCTACGGAGAGTTAATTTTTGGTTAGCTAGAATTACCGTAAGCGACACAACTTTGTACAACCTTTGATCTCTGGCCACCCACACTGTCGAGTAACCTCCCCATCCTAGTTTATGTAGCACTTTGTATCGTCCGGATTTCAGGCATTCTCCCAAGGTGACTGGGTGATAGCCGCCCTGGCGGTAGCGATGAAGTGGCTCCGCATCAACAGGGGAAATATAAAGGGGCTGATGGATCTGAGTCTTCCCTGGGTGGGTAGATATGGACTTGGATAGAATACAACGTCGCGAGATTCTCTTAAAGGGGATATAACGCCTCGACGCTACCCAGGAAATAGCCATGTAGGGACATCGAAGACTATTGACAGGCCGAGATTGTCGGGATGTAAACAATGGCCAATCACATGATCTGTCTAAGCGGTAAATTATGAGCTGGCACATAACATCTCGTTGACTCTCCCTTTCTGCTCTTTTTAATCTCGATACCATAATGCGTCCAAAATCCCCCCCCAATACACTTGCTATCATTGACAGGTGGCTATAAGTCCTTCCGTGCACCAGAGGCCCTATTTGTTCCTGCCGAGGCTCAGCCTGTTGGATCCTTTGCTGGACTTAAAACGAAGACATCTCAAGCCGAATTAAACTCAACATGATTAAATACCATGTATTCTTCCGGATCGCAAAAAAAAAATGAAGTCAATTTTTGCCTAAGCTATACTCGGCTATCGATGTTGTCTGACAATTTGGCTAAACGGAAATCCGAGCTAACTACTTCGTACGACAGAGCTAAATTAGCCAACGCGCTACTCCCGCAACTTATTTTCTCCTGTCGAAACTCTTTCATTGTGGGGTTGACTGGCAAAGAAATTTCGAATCACAATGTCTATACCCCAGACTAGCTAGCCGCATTTTAGCCTAATTTCCCCACGCTACCCCGGAAAATGGGCTATAGGCACTGAACCGGAAGATGTTCAGCTTCACCCCGGAGATTGCATGCCGGGGCCTTTACAAAGTTGGCTTAGCTTTGTTTGTAAAGGGAGGGGGTATATGGCTCTGGTCCAAAATTTGTCCGGTTTAAAGTAAGCTGCCTTTCCGCGTCGTTTGCTGCAGTATCCTCCTCATTCGCATTCATCGGTCACAATGCGCTCTTTCGTCGCAATCACAGCTTTGCTCGCTGGTCTTTCCCAGGCCGCACCCAAACACCAAGACCGCAACAATTACAACTTAAATGCCCTTGCCCAAGCTCGGGGTAAACAATGGTTTGGAACAGCTGCCGATATCCCCGGAACGGGTGAGACGACCGATGCTGCGTACTTGAAGATTCTGAACAGTCAGTTCGGCGAAATTACCCCGGCTAATGCACTGAAGGTATGTGGAATGCCATATCCAAACCCTACGCTTGAGTAATTCGCGACTAACAATTAATTATTGTCGTCCCACTAGTTCATGTATACAGAGCAAGAGCAAAACAAGTTCAACTTCACCGATGGCGACTACTTCATGGACCTAGCCGAGCGCTTCGACTCCAAAGTCCGCTGCCATAATCTCGTCTGGATGAGCCAGGTGTCAGATTTCGTCACCTCCAAGAATTGGACTGCCAAGGAGCTCACTGCTGTTATGAAAAACCATATCTTCAAAACGGTCCAGCATTTCGGCAAGCGCTGCGCTTCGTGGGATGTCGTCAATGAAGCCATCAACGACGACGGCACTTTCTCATCGAGTGTCTGGTACGATACAATTGGCGAGGAATACTTCTACCTCGCCTTCCAGTATGCGCAACAGGCTCTGTCTCAAATCGGTGCCAATGATGTCCAGCTCTACTACAACGACTACGGCATTGAGAACCCTGGCACCAAGGCCGATGCTGTTCTACAGCTTGTGAAGAATCTGCGCAAGCGCGGGATCCGCATTGACGGTATCGGTCTCGAGTCCCACTTCATTGTCGGCCAGACGCCTTCCCTTGCCGATCAGCTCGCTACCAAGAAGGCCTATATCAAAGCTGATTTGGATGTTATTGTCACGGAGCTTGATATTCGTTTTGCGGAGGAGCCGTACTATACTGCTGATGTGCAGAAGCAACAGGCTACGGACTACTACCTCACTGTTCAAAGCTGTCTTCAGGCTGGAAGTCGCTGTCTTGGTGTTGTTGTTTGGGACTTTTATGATAAATACTCCTGGGTCCCTGAAACCTTTGCTGGTCAGGGAGGCGCGACGCTTTTCAACGATACCCTCGAGGCTAAACCGGCGTATTACGCTGTTGTTGAAGCGCTTCAGGGCAAGAAGTGCACTGTTTGCTAGCTTATTGGTACTGTGTCGTATGTGGGACGTTGGAATTTATAAACAGAAATCAATTCTGGAACTCTTTGATCTTTACTACCACTGACTGATACTTCAAGTATGGAGGGTGCTTGTTATTTTTGTCAGCGCTGATTCAATTCAGAGTTTTGCCTCACTGAGCGGATAATATAGGTAATCTTATAATTATTAAGCCACATTTATCCAAATCTAGATTCACTCTTGCATCTTTGCCTGTGCCTCTGCCTCTGTCTTTGCAATTGCCCCCGGAGCAGCTGGCATTAGTGCGCCCGCAGGAGGCTCGTTCTTCCCTTTGAACTCATCGCACATTTGCTCGAACGTTACCCACTCCACTCCCTCATGGCTGTTGATATATTCAATGAGTCTGCGTAGTGTTAGTCTCACATTCACCAATGGCGTTTGACAGTGTAAAGTCTGAACATACCGCTCATGCATGAGCAAGACATGAGGCCGACCAGAGACATCGGGATGAATTGTCATGGGGAAGACAAACTCATCATACTCTCGATAGAAATAGTCGAAGTGATCCTGTATTAAGTAACACCGTCAGTGCGAGCCCCATGATCCAGAACGGAATAAATACTAACCTTCCAGATATCCTCAACATCCCGCGGATTAACCCACCCATGGCTATTCGCCGAATTCTTGATAAACATCATCGGCGGCAAATCATCAATATACCAACTACCAGGGATCTCCACAAGACCAGTAGTATTACCCTTGACGAGGGGCTTCATCCATGTCTCCGCCTTTTGCTTGTAATCGATCTTCGTCCACGTATCCCCAGTCCGAAGCCAGTACATCTGGCAATCCTCATGGGACATCGAATGATCATATTCAATCCCATAAGCAAGCAAGAGCTCAACCATCTCCGCACTGGCCTCCCACCATGGCGCGACAATTCCGCGTGGCGGCTTTCCGCAGAAATCCGTCAACATCTTATATGTCTTGTCAAGGATGTCGCGTTGTTGCTCCGTGGAGAGGTCGCAGGGATTCTCGTGCGAGTAACCGTGTAACCCAATCTCGTGCCCGGCGTCCCGGACCATTGCGCATTCTTCGGGAAAGGTGTCAAGGGTGTGGCCTGGGATGAACCATGTTGCTTTGATGTTGTATTTTTCGAATAGTTTAAGTACGCGGGGTGTGCCGACGTGTCCAGCCCAGAGACCTTTTCACGGAATTTGTTAGTACGACAGGTATGATTTTGGAGACACATTAGCTTACCTCGACTGATATCGCTCACGCTGTCCTCGCCTCCGTATGAGCCTAGCCAGCCGGCTACTGCGTCGATATCAACGCCGTAGCCAACAAGAACGCGCTTCTTGCCCATAATTATAGTAATTGAGTATTGTTGGTGATGAGAGAAGTTGAGATTGAGTCCAGAAAAGAAGAAAATATAATTGCTTTGGGGAATTGATTGAAATTAAGTAGGGGGGTATTGTTGACGTAAATATATAGTCCGCTCCAGAGCTACCCCCAACAATGTATCACGACAGACAAAGGTGGGGTGATTCCTAAACACTTTGGATCGTTTCTCTGAAATTGGAGATACGGAGGCTAGTCTACTGGATAGCTATTGATCTTGATCCCACTCATGATTTGCTCCAACTGCCACATTCGAGGCCGTCTTCTGTGCCTTGTGATCTTATCGCTATTCGAATGTGACGTTCATACTCTCCGACACTACCAAATGGAAATAGAACATACTGGTAATACAATGAACAAAGCTGGAATGAGAGGAAAAAGTCTCCAATAACTACCTCGAGAGAGAATTTAAATGAAGGCGGAGATTTGAGAGACCTATTTTTACCTCATAGTGTTGTCAGAGACTGGGGCTACAACATATGACCTTCAGAGTCAATGAAGGTCAATGACTTTAAGATAGAATTGACTAGCCCACTCTATAATTCCAGATTGTACATGTATCTTCAAAATCATCTTTTTGTAATCGGCGCTGGTTTCGATCCTTCATAGTTTCCCTTTCATGAAACCCCGAGTTTCATCTGCCACATACGAAGATCCTCCATATATTTGCTGCTGCAGTATTTTTGTGTTGACCTATTGGCTTAGTGTTAGTAGTATGAACAAAAGGCGTCACAGCAGGAGGGACATACGTGCTGAGGGCCAAGATCGGCCACTGTTTTCGCACCAAGGAGGCGCATGCATGTTTTCATCTCATCCGAGAGTACTAATAATATTACCAGGTCAGCAAGAAACAAATCCATGTCTTTGAGGGGAACAAACTTTGCAATGTCCTCTCGACCCCCGCAACCCCACCAGCAGCGAGACCCCAAAGAGCCGGCCTTCCTATTCCAACAGCCTTGGCCCCAAGACATAGAGCCTTGACAGCATCTGTACCACGACGAATGCCACCGTCCACCCACACTTCAACCTTATCAAACACATCTGGGCAGTATTTCCAAAGTTCAAGAAGAGTGTGCACAGCAGGAGGCGCTGTATCAAGGGATCTACCGCCATGGTTTGATAACACAATCCCCTTCACCAAAGGTGCATACCGAGCCGCCAGAATGGCGTCCTCGTGTGTCTGAATTCCCTTCAGTACAATAGGCTTGGTTGTATGCTGCGATAACCACTCAAGTGTATCTGCCCAAGTGAGCGATGGATCTGTCCCAGCAAACAGCTGGGCGCTGACACTTGCCGCTGTGTTGGCTTGGATGTTGATTCGCTCATCGTCTTCCCGCTTACCCGACACCGGTGCGTCGAGTGTCAATACGATGAACTTGATGCGATCCAATCGATTAACACGCGCCAACATACTCTCGCTCAATTGTCTGTTCAGCTGGACATAAAGCTGCCAGCCGAATATCTGTGATGGGGGCGCGTTCGCGACGATTTCCTCCGGAGACAGTGACGAGTTGTTCGCGATGATTTGGAGACCCCCGAAAGACGAACAACCTTCGGCAATTCCCTTTTCCCCTGCAGGGTGTCCTAGACGTGCCATTGCAGTTGGACTGACGAAGATCGGTAAACCGACTTTGTGGCCTAAGAGATTGGTTTCCAATTCACAG